TCTGGAAGCTGTGTTACAGTATGTAGTGATGCCTCTGAGATTTAACAGTTCCTCTCCTTCTCTGCGTTGCACAGAGGTACAAGTACATTTGTATTGCTCATGATATTGTGGTACTTTCCTGTCTAAGCCAGATGTGAATCTTTCTTATGGCCATTTAGAGAAAGGGTACTATAGCCCATTGTTACACCCACATCACATATGTTTGGACCTAGTATACCACAATTGCAGGCAAAATAGAGGCTTTGTCTCTGAAATCGAACTGCACCTTGGTTATTAAATCAATACTCTTATGCACTTGTGGTAATGCATTGTGCCTCTTTATCAATGCTGAATGGCCCTAGTCTCAAGGTTCTGACAAACCATAGGAAATAATTGATTTATCTTAAAAAGCAGAGGTGAAAGATTGTGTTGAATTTCAGGATTAATGGATGAATGTGATTCATGACTCTTTAAGTCAGTTGTGTCAGTCAATTGTTCCAGGACCAGCCCTGTAAAGCAGCAGTCGCCAATTTGTGAACCACAGTCCAGATGCAAGCCTATGACTGGTTTCACCCGGAACACAAATCATTTTTCATACATTACCATAGTTATAAACAGTGTTTTTCTTTCTCCACATGGAGAAAGAGTGTATCTGAACTGACATAAAAAGGTGCAGTAAGAGATACTATTAACACAGGAAATTAGACACAAGTTACAATAGTGTAATGTTTTTTTTTTTTTAAATGAGAGAATTCAGGGATCTTATCTATGCACAATCAGCTTGTAACACTCCAAAGAGAAAGGAAAACTTGAAATCGCATCATATGACCCCTTTAAAGCTGCTTTGGAGCAATTTTGAAATGTGCTATGCAAACACACTTATGTTAAGTTTGGGGTCTGTATGTTTTTTTATTATTAAATTAATATTTTTTTCAAAGATGCATTAAATTGATCAAAAGTAACAGTAAAGACATTTATAATTTTACACAAGATTTCTATTTCAAATAAACACTCTCAAAAATCCTGAAAAAAATCACAGTTTGCAGAAAAATATTAAGCAACACAACTATTTTCAACGTTGATGATAGTAAATCTTTCTAGAGCAGCAAACCAGCATAAAAAATGATTTCTGAAGGATCGTGTGACACTGAAGACTGGAGTAATGATGCTGAAAATTCAGCTTTGACATCACAGGAATAAATTACATTTTAAATATATTAAAACTGAATTGTTTTAATTATAGTAAAATTTCACAATATTATTGTTTTACATGCTTTTTGATCAATTAAATGCAGCCTTACTGAAACCAAATGTTTGAATGGTACTGTACATTGAATTGAGTTTTTAATTCTGTACTGGACAAATCTGTAGACTTGACTATTTTGTCTTCGAAAATTGAACTTTGAATTTGAAAGGTAACTTGGCCATTTAAAAAGAATTTTGTCGAAGTTCACATTGCTTATTCAATTTCATAGCCATATAACACATTTACTCCTAAAACAGTGTTTATTGTAGGACCTTTATTTGTTCAGACCCTTGCTGGGAAGGACATTTAGAGAGGCATTTAGAAGCATTATGTTTTTGTGTTTTATGGATTCAGTGGTTAGCATGTGCCATTTACAATCATCCCTGTTTCCTGCCCTTATCCTCTCAACACTTCAGTCTTTTGTTTTTGTTTATGTTATTATGATAATTATGATGAATTATTCCTGATAAGATAGGGTACAATGCAGTCATTATTGAGAGCCGCTCTACATAATGCTTTTGTGCTCCATTTGGTTGTAATTATTATGGCCTTCAGCTGAGACATTAACAGAATTATTAACAGAATAGCTGTATATGAGGCACTGAAGACACTGAAGAGGTACAGGATGTCTGAGAGTGAGTGTTTCTTCTGACTGGAAGCACGGATGAGATGAGATGCTGCCTTCCTTTAAGTTCTCACCCTGAGTGAACCCAACAGAGTGACTTTGCCACAGTGCTGATAGCTGACCAAAGATACATCTAACGTCTCGATGATGTTTATCTCAGGTGAAGTATCGATCCCAGATCCGTCCCTTTGTGTCTACTCGTAGGATCTCACACATAATCACAGATCAAACTTTCTCATCAGGCTGACCGCTGACCCTCAAGAGTGCAAATCCTTTCAACGTCCACACTTCCCAACCACTCTCTGTATTGAGGATGTTTACGGGATGTAGCTCCGCACTGAGCCGACAGCCTGTCCCAGAGGAGGTGCGATGTCACGGCTGGTCTGTGACATCAGGAGTGTTCCTGTCAGCGTGTGTGGGAGCCCAGTGTCTGTGTGAGTCACCCGGAGCAGAAGGACGACTCGAGTCTGTTCGTTGAACATTGGAGCGCTCCTGTTGGCACTGGGCCGGCTGGGAAACATAGCGTCCTTTGATGAGAGTGAGAGTTGAAGACCTTTATGGATACATGATGAAGGGACATTCTTAGCATTGCTGCTACAATAGCTGTATATCTATGTTTGTTACAAATTCATTTTAGGCAGGCAGTTCACTCTGTGGCCACCGTCTTGGTAACACTGAGTACATAAAGTACATAATAGGCACATGTACACTATTGTTCAAAAGTTTGGGGTCGTTTTTTTTTTTTTTAAGAATTGTATACTTTTATTCAGCAAGGATTCATTTAAATGATCAAAGGTTACTGTAAAAACTTTTATAATGTTTAAAAAAAGATTTCTTTATTCAAATAAATGCTTTTCTTTGAACTTTATATTCATCAAATCACCAAAGAATCCTGAAAAAAAATGTATCATGTTTTCCACAAAAATATTAAGCAGCACAACTGTTCTCAACATTGATAATAATTAAATCTTTCTTGAGCAGCAAATCAGCATATTAGAATGATTTCTGAAGGATCGTGTGGCACTGAAGTAATGGAAAATTCTGAAAATTCAGTCTTCACAGAAATACATTTATATATTTTACATTTTGAAATATATTACAATTATTACAAAGCATGATTTGGGAATCACATTTGGGAAATTATGCTTTAAAACAATCACAGCCATTATAAGATTTTTCAGGTTTAATATAGAGTTATGTTGCACTAGATTTTGGACCAATGAGCTTTCACTTTTAAGTGGAGCTGCCCAGCACAACCCTGGAGACAAAGAACTCAAGCAGTTTGTGTATTGATTGCCAAACTCTGATTTAGATGCAGGAGATTTTAACGTCTTGTGTCTGGTTAGCTTATGCTTGATTGTCGCAGATATTGAAATTGTAGCCACAATATTCATGTGCAAACACACTTATGTAATTCATGCAGGAAGCGAGATGAAATAACACAATTTGCTGTTATTTAATCTGCTGTCTCCTGTATAAATCTCAAACCTGTAGATTTTCTTTGTAAGTGCATCAAGCTCTCAGAGCTGAAACACTGAACACTTTCCCCTAGTGATGTTTGCAGAGCGACACAAAGATTATTTACCGTTTCTTTCTTCCCTTGGCTCTGATGAAAAACATAATTTGATTTACAGCTCTCTCTGTAATATTTCCACATCATTTGCCACACTCAAACAGTAAAGATTACAGCCACAAGACCCTGAGGTTCTGTAATCCATTTTAACAGAGCCGTTCAGTTACTGCAATAGCAGACCAAAGGCTCGGCATGGATATTAATTTAACCTCTTCTAATGACTTTCTGTGTGAATTTACTTCGCTTCTACATTTAAGGAGATGGATATGATACGAGCACATGGATTTGAAAAATCAAGCATAATAAAATCAATATGTGTATAATATTATCAATATGAGTCTAAAATACATTTTTTACAAGAATTGCACAAGTACTTCTTCAGAGTGATATAAGAAATACATTACGTTTCAGCCAGTTGGTCAGCAAGTTAAGTTTTGTATGGTTCACCAGCATTAACCAGCCTGGACTAGCTGATATATAAACAGGAAGTGTGGATCCATGAGCAGTGGGTGTGTTATTGTGGCTTTGCATTGGCATTGATTTATTTCGAATGCTTTATTGGGCAGCTAAATGAGTTAGACACCTCTTGAAAAGCAATTAGTTAGCCAGATAACATGCAGAATAATGTAATTTGCTGTTGCTCCATGCACTGTCTCTGATCTTTTCACCCTCTTACACCGTTTGCAATATCCTAACGAAGCACGTAGTCAATACAAGATCAAGCCTAGTGGGAGGCGAGCGATTATAATGACTCAATGAAGCGCACACGGTGTACTCGCACATATTCAATACAGCCGGATCCATAGACCGAGCTGAAGAGCGACCAATCCCCAAACTTCATTAGCATGTTTATGCAACACTACAACATAGATTGCTTTTGGAATTGCTAATGAGAAAGAGCGTACAACAGACCAAGCCGGGAAGAGTGAGGATTATTAGGGGGGAAAAACATCAGATAAAAGGGGAAGTAGTGATGTTAGGAGGATGGCAGAGGGACAAAAATAATATTTGTTATACTGGGACCAAAAGATTTTTAATTAAGTTCTTTTTTTATTAATTTAAAGTGCAATTGCAAAGTAATTTCTACAGTGTTGTTTTAATATCATTGAGATACTACTGTAGTTTTTATTAATATTTTTAATATATATTTTCATTTATGTTTTCATTTTACAACTTGTTTTAGTAATTTTTTTGCTTCTTTTTTTATGTCTATATAGTTTTTATTAATTCATCTCAATTTTAGTTTTATTTTAGTACAGGGTTTTTTAAACCCTGGTTTTCAAACAGATTTTTCCCCCTCGTCCGCCATTGGTTGGACAGACAGATAGTCCCACCCCAAACTCATGCCATTGGTTGATGTTGTTAAATGTTTTATACTTTGCAGGGATATCAGCCTATAAAATGGCTTAGTTATAGTTGTCTTTGCATACTAAGCTGAGAAATACAATTATTTTACAATTGTGTTTGTGTATGTGTTTATCACCATATTACTTCTTACTATCCACTGTGTCACGTAAAGGATTTTAAATTTTAAATCTCATCTTGCATCTTTTTCTCTTTCCTCCTTTGCCCTTCAGGAACACTTCACACCAGAGTGCAAGTTTAAGGAGTCAGTGTTTGAGAACTATTACGTGACGTACTCCTCCATGATCTATAGACAGCAGCAGTCGGGCAGGGGCTGGTACCTAGGCCTGAACAAGGAAGGAGAGATCATGAAGGGCAACCATGTGAAAAAGAATAAGCCCGCTGCACACTTCCTCCCCAAGCCTTTGAAAGGTAAGTCACTACGTCAACACACTATGTAGTCAGTCTTATTGCTGTTGACACAGTTAAAGGATTAGTTCACTTGCAGAATAAAAAATGTCCTGATAATTTACTCACCCCCATGTCATCCAAGATGTTTATGTCTTCTTTTCTTCAGTCACAAAGAAATTAAGGTTTTTGAGGAAAACATTCCAGGAATTTTCTCCATATAATGGACTTCAATGGTGGCCAATGGGTTAAAGGTCCAAATTGCATTTTCATTGCAGCTTCAAAGGGCTCTACACAACCCCAGCCGAGGAATAAGGGTCTTATCTAGCAAAATGATCTGTCATTTTCAAAAAATAAATAAATAAATAAAATGTATGTACTTTTTAACCACAAATGCACTTCTTGCACTAGCTCCGCGATGCGCATCTGCAAATTCATGCATGACGTAATCGCATTGGAAAGGTCAAGTGCAGTTAGCTCTTCGTCTGTGTACTCCGGTTCAAAAAGGTATGGTAGCGCGAAAAACTCCATCTCATTTTTTCCTACAACTTCAAAATCGTCCGACATCGTTGTTTTACCTTTTTTTGTCAAGGGCGTTTGACTTCCTTTGCACGTTTGCTTTGTAAACATTGGGTCGGTACTTCCAACATGACTACGTAATGCGTGAAGTATATATATATATATATATATATATATATTTTTTTTTTTTTTAGAAAATGACCAATCGTTTCACTACATAAGACCCTTATTCCTCGGCTGGGGTTGTGTAGAGCACTTTGAAGATGCATTGAAAATGCAATTTGGACCATCAGCCCATTGGCCACCGTTGAAGTCCATTATATGGAGAAAAATCCTGAAATGTTTTCCTCAAAAACCTTAATTTCTTTGTGACTGAAAAAAGAAAGACATAAACATCTTGGATGACATGGGGCTCAGTAAATTATCAGGAAAGTTTTATTCTGCAAGTGAACTAATCCTTTAAGTTACTCCATAAAATTATTTTTGAACGTCAGTATCCAGCTCTACAATATTTAATCAACTAAAAATTAGTGCAATCTCTATAAAATGATTCTTTAAAAAGCCTCTCGTAACCACGAATGACTGGAAAAGTCATTTGTTAGTTTGTGGGAACCCTGATGATTCATCTACTGGGCAGGAAATAAAACGCAAAGCATATTTTTATTGTGTATTGTATCTTTTTTTCATTGTCAAAATGAAATTCCATTATATGTGCCCCACTGAATGCTCTAAACTACAGGTTCCAGACCTGTGAGCACACAATCTGCCCTTTTATTGTCCCTCCACCTGCGTTTAGTGTGGCATGCTGTTCTCTCGCCTGAGGGAAACGCTGGTCTTAGGCTCTTTGCTGAGGTGATGAGATGTGGATAGTGGAGTCCATAAGGAGCGCTGCAGACTCCAGCACAATCAGACAGTTTAAAGCGTCGTCTGTGGCAGAAGCCTCTGGAATGATAAAGCAGCTTTTGACAGCAAACAGCGCTGTACCCTTCCATCCAGGCCAAGGCAGCCATCTCAGAGCAGAACACAACAGAGCTTTGTGCAATTGCAAAAGTTCCTTGTGGCTTTCATCTGCCGGCTGCATACTGTTTTGTCAACGAACACAGAGAGAGTGCGTTCTAAGCACAAATCCTAACTCTCTGGAAGTTTTTTGTTGTTGCAACAAGCTTTGGAAAAAGGATGAATGAAAGCTTACATTTTAAAACATTAAGAGGCTCTACGCATAAATAGTACGTTTATTTCTGAGCATCAAAGATGTGCCAATTTCAAGGTAAACATTTAGTTTAATTGCTTTTAGATTGACTTTTAATGCCTTGCTCGTCATTTAGTAGACGCATAATTGGGATTTTTCTCTTAATGAAGGAGAGACGGCTCTCCAAACTATGAGCTGCTTTGTTTTTATGTAAAGCAGTAATTTATCAAATGACTCACGCTGCACAAATGAGTTTTTGAACATAATGTCTGATAATGTCACACAATTCAGCTATTAACAGAAATCAATAACGCTTTTCATTGCTTAAAGAATTAAAACAAGGTCTTTTATTTGATTGTAATTAAAAATGGAGGCTTAACAGCTGAGAAACATTTTGTTCTCAGAGAAAATGTCTTAGCCCTTGAAAATGCATTTCCTTTTTCTAAAGAGGCTTGTAGTGTGATAAGAGGATAATGGTGAATGTTGGTAATGTAAGAGACAGCAGGAGTAATGCATTAGCTTGGAAGGACAGTCTGATGCTACTGGCTCCACACTGCATTCACTGCGGAGATGCTTTACTAGAGCTGATTTCAGAGGCCAGTGCACAGCCATTGAGTGAGATTTATACTTAAAAAGGGTGAAATAACAATAGATAATACACCTATTCAAGATAAATTGTCTGAATAAATGTCTTAAGTTGCTTCTCAAGTAAATGCTGTCTTATTTTAAGGATGTTCACATATTTTTACTGGGAAACCAGACAATTTTTTTTTCCTTTTGTAGTAGCTGTAAGACTAAGATAGTCACACATTCTTCACCTAAATTTAGTTAGGTGTTTTAAAATGTGTGTAAATACATAAACATATTGGTTACATTTTACAATACATTAATTAACAATTAACATTAGTTAATGCAGTAGTTTAATATAAATAAAACAAAAGTTTGGCATCAGTAAGATTTTTTTGTTTTGAAAGAAGCCTCTTATGTTCATTAAAGGGTTAGTTCACCCAAAAATGAAAATTAGACTGTGTTTTACTCACCCTCGAGGCATCCTAGGTGTATATGACTTTCTTCTTTCAGACAAATCCAGTCGGAGTTATATTAAAAATTGACCTTGCTATTCCAAGCTCTTTCATTGCAGTCAGCGGGTGTTGCAGTTGAACAGTCCACAAGTCGTCAAATAAAACGCGCGCATCCATAATAAAACGTGCCTCACACCGCTCCGGGGGGGTGAGTAAAGGCCTCCTGTAGTGAATCCATGCGTTTTTATAAGAAAAATATCCATATTTAAAACGTAATAAACACTTTTCTCTCACTTCCGTTATCTGTCATATGCGGAAGCCGTTCCGGCGGAAGGCGTATGACGTATGCGCAGCGCGCACGCCTCTGAGATAGTCTCGCAAGTTTGTTTATAGGAGCAAAGGAAGTCAGTTTCCTTACTTTAGCAAAGGAAAACCAGTCTCCTCTTGGTTTATATTGAAATCCTCCGACATTTTTCTTTGCAAATCCTCGGTTTGTACTTCTAATTCATGACCGGTGTTTTGTTTTGTTCTCTCTCCGCGTTCGTCACTTATCACGCAACGCCGACGTCCTACGTCATCCGCCAGAACGGCTTCCGCGTATGACAGATAACGGAAGTAATAGAAAAGTGTTTATTACGTTTGAAATATGGATATTTTTCTTACAAAAACGCATGGATTCACTACAGGAGGCCTTTATTCACCCCCCTGGAGTGGTGTGAGGCACGTTTATTATGAATGCGCGCACTTTATTTGACAACTTGTGGACTGTTCATCTGCAACACCCGCTAACTGCAATGATAGTGCTTGGAATAGCAAGGACAATTTTTTATATAACTCCGACTGGATTCGTCTGAAAGAAGAAAGTCATATACACCTAGGATGCCTTGAGGGTGAGTAAAACACAGTCTAATTTTCATTTTTGGGTGAACTAACCCTTTAAGGCTGTATTTATTTGATTAAAAATACAGTAAAACTGAGTAATATTGTGAAATATTATTACAATTTAAAATAACTCTTTTTCATTTTACTTCGGTATTCAGTGTCACATGATCCTTCAGAAATCATTCTAATATGCTGATTTGCTTTAAAAAAATGTTTCTTATTATTATCAATATTGAAAAAACTGATACTTTTTTTCAGAATCCTTTGAATAGACAGCATTTATTTGAAATAAATATCTTTTCAAACATTATAGAAGGCTTTACTTTTGATTAATTTTAATGCATCCTTGCTGAAAACAATATTATTTCTTTAAAAAATCTTACTGACCCTTTTAAACAGTAGTAAATACAAATACTGTATATTTTTTACATGTCAAACTAAATTAACATTAAAGGTCCCATATTGTCAAAACTGAAATTTCCTGGCTTTTTTCACATAACTGAGGTCTAAGGGCTATTTAACTACCATATAAGTTTCAAAACAGTCAGTCCACAGTAAAATGCACACAGCCTGCATAAAGTAGCTGTGATTTTTCACGAACCGTTGTGACTTCTGTAAAAAGTTGACGTCAGAACTACACAGTCACCGCCTTCAGTCACCACCCCGAGCACCGCCCACCGTCCCACTCTCCTTTTGCCAAACCCCCAGACAAGATCGGCCGACCTGTAAGGTTACACTCTCACTCACAAAGGATGGATGATCTGACAGGATTGTTACTATGGGGTGGATCACATCTAACGTGTATAGTAAAGACAAACTCACCGTGTCTATCTAGTCATGATGAAGATGTATATACATTTCAATTTCAGCAGGAAACTATTTTTACAGCTACATTGTTGTTCCAGCCACAATTAATCACAACAATGTATACAATTACAAACAGACATATGGCAAGAAATCTGTAGACATGCCCATAACAACAAAAGAGAATACTTTATTGAACCTTTTCTGATAAGAAGTGTGCGCTGCAAACGCGAGCATTTTTGACGATCGTTTCTGTCCAGTCTGCTCGTTTTATCGCGTTTAACCACAGCTGTCGTCAGTTTTTTGTCTGGCAGTGGCAGCAGATAAGCGATCAAATTTCTAATTTGAGGCTGTATTACGTTGATTCTGGCGATCACAACAAGATGATATTTTAAGCTCCTTATGTAGCCGAATCGTCGCTGGTTTGAATGGGCCGCCTCCAGTTTCCCCTTTGTTTTGCTGCCTCCAGCTAGCGTTGTGACGTTGGCTGACCCTAGTTACCTGTGGTTGGCCTGGCCATGCGTCACTCAGAAAACAACAGGCCAATCAGAAGAGAGGCTCATGAATATTAATTAGACAGGCCAAAATCGACCTGTTCTCAGCAGAGCTCCTGAGAGAGGAGCTGTAAAAATATATTGAGATGGTTTTTGGTACTTATACCGCAAATATATATTCTTAAGGACATCAAGACTTAAAATAAAACTCCAGAAAGGTGTAAAATATGTGACCTTTAATGTATTATGGATGAACATGAATTAACAATGATCAATTGTATATAATAAGAAACATTAAGCTAGATTAATAAATGCTGTGGAAATAAATTAATTGTCAAACTTGTTTCACTAGTGGTAGCTTTAGTTGCAACTTGCAACTTTATTGCAAAGTGTTACCATAATATTTCATGTAGAAAAGCAATGATTGTGTCAGTTATGAGTTTAGTTGTTGTCGAGGAGAGAGTTATGTAATTTGAAGAGAGAGAGGGAATTGGAATTTTGCTCGCTGCCTTATAAAGATTCTCCAGCAGTATTCTTCCAAAGGACCAATTAAGGATCTGTCTCCTCTCTGTGAACATGGCTTCGGCTGCCAGCTCTCAGCTCACAAAGCACTATAGTCTCTGTTCAGTGCACACACACACACACACATATAAAGTCAGCCTGTACGATCATTACCACTGCCAAAGAACAGGACCCCATACGCTGATGTATCTGCATCCATAATCCCTGAGCTTGAGGCCTCATTTATGTTCAATTACTATAATTAGAAAAATGTTTTAAACATTTAAAAGTGTTTAACACTTCAACCATGTATTGCTATATTGACGCAGTCACACTTTGAAGCACATTGGTCCAGAAGGTTTGACTTTAATGACTAGCTGGTATATGACAAAGCCCAGAGAAAGCTCTACAGAGTGCACTAATAATGACCTGGCCTCTGAAACTCCTGCATCCTTCTGGTGAGAAGCTTGACACTCGGTTGCACAACCAATACGTCAACTATCGATTCGTAGAGCTTTCCACTTAAGTGCTGTATCGATTGCATGTTGCAGGCAGAAGCAGCTTTGTGTGAAGTTAAAGGAAGTCTTTGTGATGCTCCCTGCACTGCACATCCATCGTTAAGACGATCAGACAGATGAATTTTAGCACATTTGTTGCCTTGTAGATTTCTGGAGTGGTGATGTGAAAGTACTGTCTGAAGTGCTTGGGTCTGATGTTTGTGTCAGATAACAAGAATCACGTTTTCTATACAGCAAGACATAGATATTAGCTCTCTAAAACAAATGTTTCTGTTGAAAAGTTAAGACATGGAGTGAACAGGTGCCTCTCAGAACTTTTTCTGCTTGACTCACATTCTCCTATAATCGCTTTTCACAGCCTGCTCTGCTGTATCTCAGTGGTTTTGCCCAGTTTGTGTAACTCAGTGGGACTGTCTAACATTTTAACAGTTTTGACTTAATGTACTGTATATGGTAATATTTTGCAACATCAATTCTCAAATTAAGTCATGTACAGGATGTACACTACTGTTCAAAGTTTGTACAGTATGTCTGCATGATTTTTTTGTTTTTTGAAAGTCTCTTATGCTCACCAAGACTGCATTTGTTTGATCAAAAATACTGTAAAAACAGTAATATTGTGAAATATTATTACAATGTAAAATAACTGTTTTCTCTTCTAATATATATTTTGAAATGTAATTGATTCCTGTAATGGTAATTTCAGCAGCCATTATTCCAGTCTTTACAGTTAAATGATCCTTCAGTCTTTTACGGTCACTTCTGAACAATTTAATGCATCATTGCTGAATAAAAGTATTAATTTCTTTTTTAAAAATCTTACTGACCCCAAACTTTTGAACAGTAGTGTATATATTTGTCATATTGTAAATGGAGTATCTCACATTTCATAATAGGTATAGAGCCCTGATTTCAGATTTCACTTTTGGATAGATGAGTTTTGTTCCTTAATATTTATTACTGGATTTTTTTTTTTTTGGATAAATAAAAGGCTTACAATTACCAACCACTAGTTATTGATCACATTGAAGTTTTACATTTTCTGTGCATATTTAATAAATGCCTAAATTGCAAATGGGTAAATACACAAACACAATACAATAACTTTTTTTTTTTTACTAAAACTGACAGAAAATGTTCAGCCTGTTCACATTTAATCAGGGACATTCATGAAGTAAACAAGCACATTTGCATCCCATTAGCATTTTCTCTGTGCACATCTAACAAAAAATGTTGGGATGTTTTTACTAACCACACGCTCTTTATTTGTTTCCGGTTTTTTCAGTGGCCATGTACAGGGAACCCTCTCTGCACGACCTGACCGAGTTCTCACGTTCTGGTAGCGGCACACCCACTAAAAGCCGGAGTGCCTCCGCTGTGCTGAACGGGGGCAAAGCTGTGAGTCAGAACGAGTCAACGTAGCCCGGTTTGCCCGGCCCGCTACCTTACGCCTTCACCAAAACCTCTGAATGCTTGTGACTTCACACAGACTTCTCTCCAAAAAGCTCTCAGCGGTTCAGGACAACATGAAACATAACATAACCACTCACAAACTAGAGTAACATTTGATTGGACTTCTTTATAATTAGCTTGTTTTTTGTTATGTTTAGCTTGTTGGTTTTTTTCTTGATCACCACTATAATAGCCTTTTCCATGTGAAACACCGAAATTGTAGCCTTTCTTAAAATGGGACGTTGCGTTTAAGTCCCTCTCAGCAGTTGAACGTCAATCATCAAGGTTCATTTCCTAGCATTGCAGGTCCTGATCAAGGAATGCATTTGTTAAGAGTTCAGGGCAGTAAGTGAGGGTTTTAGCTGCACGGGTGCAGTGGAAGGAAGGCACCCCTGTCCTCCATGCTTCCTAAGTGTGTGAAGCGATAGAGATGCGCCCATCCCGGTGCGTGGGGGGCTCCTGCGTTCTTGTGCACTCGCTTAGAGGGCTTGGCTCTCTAGCATGGGAATATAAAGCCTGCGTTCTGCTCACATGATGAGTGAAGCTGAGCCTCTCAGAAGCAAGAGGCCATGGCTTGCTAATTGTTTGAATTAGCTGTGAGCTTTTCTTACTTTCTCTTCCTCTTGTTCTTCCCCAAATCAGTGTTTTTCGAGGTTTAAACAGCGACTGGAGATCCAGCGCACCAAAGACAGAACTGTGAGAGTTTCCCCTCGAGCCGTCAGACCACACCGGTACATATATATATACGCATGACAGGAAGCGATGAACAGGTTTTTTTTCTGATTAGTGAGAGGTTTCAGTATTCGAAGAGATGGATGTGTGGTTCATGAGGACTGTTCGATGTCAACCCTTTTGTCTCTTTTGCGTCCCGTTGTCTGTTTTCTAAGTTCCTTTAGTCTGTGTGCTTGTGTTTTTGCCTTTCCCGCACATGTCGACTCTCCTTTGGTCAATGCTGGTCACCGTTGCCGGTGATTTCCGAGACATGGCTGGACTCCCACCTGGACTGCGTTTTGTGTACAAGTAATGTAGGGTGGTGACAATTTTCTATTTAAATGAGCAAACAAAAAATCATACTGTGGAACTTAAGTTGGTTGAATTTTTTTAGGGTATGTCTAATTTGTAAAAGTGAAAAAATGGGAAAAAAAAAAAAAATCTTATACAGGGCATGTACAAATCAGGTTGTGTACAATAAGGACCCTTTTTGTGGCCTGTAGTACAGTATATATCCTTTCCCTCGAGCAACATAACGTCATTTATGCTACAGGGGGGTTCTTCTCTCTTCTGTTTCTTTCTGGGTTTCTTTCTTCTTTTAGATGAACATACAGTATCTGTTGCATGGGAGACTGCAGGGAGGTGAGGAATAGAGCTGCATGATGTGTATTAACTCCCCCCTGGATCATATGTTCCAAACTACCAGGATAAAACTGACAAACAACATGTATGTACTAACTGGCACTCTGCCACGTACCTTCAAGTTGTTTCTTATTTGACGTGTACATACAATGCACTGAATAAAATGTTTATATTAAGATATACTTTTAAAATGTGTTTTTGTGCTTTATTTGTTGACTTCGATCGCTGTAATTGTATTATCATTCTACAGGCCGTTCACCAGGCAACCACTCTCGTCTTTCTTTTTGCCAATTCGGTTTGTTCTAATGGCGTCTTGCATCTTATTTTAATCTACTTACTTCTGGAATTGGGATATTAAATAGTCATATTGTGCCAACAAAATCAAATACTGAAGCAACAGAGCAATCAGATTGATACCAGAGGAAAAAAACACTGGGAATCAAAAAACTGTTACACTTCATTGCTGTTCTTGGAGGACTTTTGTGTTGTTTCCAGTGTGAACAAAAGTAAAATGACACTTAACAGAGGACCGTGTTGCAAGAAGGTGACAACTAGCACTGCACTGGGGAGCGAATGTTGTTTTTGATGGTTTCCTGGCTGGTGCTGGCATGTAGTTGAGCCAGTGATATAGCCAACTGTATCCACTTCCTCTGGACCAAGATGAATCATCCCTCGAAAAAGCTTTAATTGCCTGCAGTCAAGAGTCCTGCATGGCTTCTACCTTGTGGAGCAATTCCATGTAATGAATCAATATGGCGATAGACAGCCTTGTGACCAAGAATAATATACTGTAATTTATATTAGAAACTCATATTATAGAGCAGTACACAGCACTGTAGATCCATACAGTTCACAATATAGATGTCGATACTCTTCATCCTTTATAATATTATGTTGATATTATGATGTCAGTATTGGATATAGCCATTTAAAAGTTTGGGGTTGGAAAGTTTTATATTTTTATGATTTTGAAAGAAGTCTCTTACGCTTACCAAAGCGTAAGAGCGCAATTTAATTAATCAAAAATACAGTAAAAACAGTAATATTGTGAAATATTAGTTTAAAATAACTTTTCTTATTTTAATATACTTAATATCGTTTAAATGTAATGTATTCATGTGATGTCAAAGCTGAATTTTCAGCATCATTACTTATCATTCTAATATGCTGATTTGCTGCTCAAGAAACATTTATTATTATCAATGTTGAAAACAGTTATGCTGCTTAATATTTTTGTGAAAACCATGATTTTTTTTTCATAATTGTCTTTACTGTCACTTTTGATTAATTGTGTTCTTACTAACACCAAACTTTTGAATCGTAGTGTATATTTACATTAATTTTATTGGCTTGATTAGCTTTGCCATCATTTAATGTTCACTTAAAAGTTAAAAGTACATTCCTGTAAAATGTTTATCACTTTTAATGACTGTAAATGTATTGTGTGTGAATGTGAGGGAATATAAGGATGCCTTTGGTTGCAGTGTAGTATGTATAAACAGCAATCAAGTGGTCTGTGTGTTATTAGCTCTGTAAGCAGAAATTAACTAATGAGGAGTCTGTTCCACAGCAGAAGGTACGACACATTTCAGCTCTTATGCTGCTGCTCTATGAACTCCCATTATTTCCTCTCTGTGGCCCTTTCTTCTTGTTCATTAGCCAGCACACTCTAATTCATTAACACAGACAGTTCTGTAGCACTGCAGGCTGAAGCCAACTGGACAGACAGCAGCTCACAGAGCATCCAGCATAATGAAGACAAACCCTCTGGGGATCTGAGCAACTCACTATAGAGACTTCACACACCAAACGCAGCTTAGACACATTTGCAAATCTTATGAACAAATAAATAAAAATAAATGTTGATGATATTTAAAGTTAGATATGTTTTTATATATTTTAAGGAATATTTTCATAATATGGCCAATATAAAATTCTGTACTATTTGTCTAACTCAAAATAAAACACTAAAAACAAAAATCAATCATAAATGAAGTGAATTTAGGCATCACAATACTATAATGTACATTATGATGTTACAAATATTTGTTTATTGTGAGATTTTCTATTAAATTAGTTATTTAAAAGATTAACTTCAAGCATTAGATGATGTTAGATAAAAAAAAAACATATCAGCTGATATAGGGTAAGACATGGTATGATGCCCCCTAAAGAAAGGGGGGCACTGCAGCTGGAATTGCTCGCCAGTTCAGCGCTGAACAGGGTATGGATCTTTCTCGGCACATTTAAGAGAAGTCGGACTGAAAGTACACTCTGCAGTGACCCTCTCATCAGCAGAAAGAATCAAAAGGCTAGACTCACCTTTGCTGAGGAGCATGTTGTGTGGAGAGAGAAGAATTGGTCCAAAGTTCACTTTAGTGATGAGAGAAAGTTGAATTTATTTGGGACTGATGGGAAACATTATGTTCGGTGACAAACTGGGGAAAGACTGAAGCCCAAGTGCGTAAAGAAGTCAGTGAAAGGTGGAGAAGGAAGTGTCATGGTTTGGGGAATGTTCTGTGCAGCAGGAGTTGGGTCTCTTATACAGATAAATGGCAGAGTGAATACAAATTTTTATCAGAACCTCCTTCAGCAACATGCAGTTCCTTCCTGCAAGCATCTCCCAATCAGCCTGCAATTTTCTTGCAAGACAATTTCCCCGTCACACTGCAAAATGCATAAAGCAGTTCCTTGAAGCTAAGAACATTGAAATATCTTTCCAACGTTTCAGCACCACGGACAGCAATTGAAATAAGAATAACATATATAGCTTTCTTTATAAGTGCCATTACTCTTAGTTTCATCTCTTTGTTAAGCTTCTATATGTATCATCTGTCTGTGTGGAAAACGATTCCATTCGAATAATATGAGTGTATCAAAGTCATCATCCCACTTACATTTTTGCATCATTCCCCAATTACATTTCACTACATCATCTTTTATCATAAAATGTCAACTTTCTGACTGACACTAATATTGTTCCTAGAGATGAAGTATATATCTGTCTGCTGGACCGGGCTGAAGTCAAATGATCATGAACTATGTCGAGGTAAAATATAAAATGACATTATCAGACATTCTGCATAGTAACCTGTTATGCTAAAGCCCACAGCACACTTCTCTAGTCATGCCTTACCTAAAGGTCTTTGTAAGTGTCTTAATGTGTGTGGTTTGATAATTACAGTGACCTCTGGAGAAAGTGGTTTGATCTCTGTGAGAGTGCTGGAGCAAATGAGACTGATTAGGGACATCTGAAGCGCATGTGCAAGGGAGATGTTATGCAAGAGCTGTTTATGTGCTCATATAATAGCTCTATAGGCTCAGAGGAACATATACATATGTACTGTACAGCGCTGAGTTCACTGAAGGACATGAACGCATAGAAGGAGATGCTCTTGATGTGATGACATAATCCTCAGCCTTTTTAAAATGCTGTATCACATATTGAGATTGTTTATATGTCTATATGTTTAATTCATAGACATAATCCAGGGCAGAGAGCACAATCCACTCTGAATGCATAATCCAGCACTAATAATTTGCACCTTGACTCCTGTGCTTTCCCCTGAGAAAAGTATATGATGTAATTCTTTAAATTCCAGAATGAAAAAAACGAGCTGCATATTATAGTTTAACCTACATATGAATTTGCAGTTACATAACACCTTCATGCTTAGTGATTTATAATATCTTTATGTTTTATCTGTATGTCTGATTTATAATTTCTTTAACCTTATTTCTTTCCATCCCTCACAATTCTACCCATCCTTTTTTCCTCCACCTCGCCTATTTCTTCCCTGTTTGTGAGCAGGTGCAGTAGGGAATCCCGTACTCCGTGTGCTGCTGCAGTGGGAGGGATGTGATTACATAAGAGAAGCAGACAGCAGAGAAGCAGCTCTCCTCTCCTCTCTCTCCACCAGTCATGCACTATTCATGAGGCTCTCTGCATCAAAACTGCATTCCTATTCCTGACACTTCCATGGTACTGCCAGGAAAACAGCCACACTGACCATGAGGAATTTACACACCTTGTCTCTCGCTCCCCAAGATACTTTTCCCCTCGTTTTTCAGCTGCTTTAATCCACACTCTTAAAAACTTTCCATTGCACAAAAGGTTCTTTATAGTGGAAAAAAAAATTTTTGCGGGAGGGAGGGAGGGGCGGCAGTCGTGGCCTAATGGTTGCGGGTTTGAGTCTCAAGTCCGGCAGGGATTATCTGTGGGGGGAGTGAATAACCAGATGCCCCCTAAAGAAAAGGGGCACTGCAGCTGGAATTGCTAGCCAGTTCAGCGCTGAACAGGGTATGGATCTTTCTCGGCACATTTAAGAGAAGTCGGACTGAAAGTACACTCTGCAGTGACCAAGCCTCTCATCAGCAGAAAGAATCAAAAGGCTAGACTCACCTTTGCTGAGGAGCATGTTGTGTGGAGAGAGAAGAACTGGTCCAAAGTTCACTTTAGTGATGAGAGAAAGTTGAATTTATTTGGGACAGATGGGAAACATTATGTTCGGTGACAAACTGAAGCCCAAGTGCATAAAGAAGTCAGTGAAGGTGGAGAAGGAAGTGTCATGGTTTGGGGAATGTTCTGTGCAGCAGGAGTTGTCTCTTATACAAATACATGGCAGAGTGAATACAAATGTTTATCAGAACCTCCTTCAGCAACATGCAGTTCCTTCCTGCAAGCATCTCCCAATCAGCCAACAATTTTCATGCAAGACAATTTCCCCGTCACACTGCAAAATGCAATGAATAACCAGCACTCTCTTCCACCTTCAATACCACGACTGAGGTGAGACCCTTGAGCAAGGCACCGAACCCCCAACTGCTCCCCGGGCACCGCAGCACATGGCTGCTCACTGCTCCGGGTGTGTGTTCACAGTGTGTGTGTGTGTGTGTGTTCACTACTGTGTGTGTGCACTTGGATGGGTTAAATGCAGAGCACAAATTCCGAATATGGGTCACCATACTCAGCCACACGTCACTTCACTTTCACTAAAAAAAAGTTATTCTTTTAACCCTAAGAGATTTTATTTTTTATGAAATGCTAGTTAATGTTATCACATTGGACTAAAACTTACTGACTTTGCTCACACAGAGTATAACAACTTCCCAAAAAAATTTGGGAAGAGACCCATATTAGGGATAAGAGTCTCTTCTCCCTGCCTACAAAGAATGGTTATAAATTTGTCATTATGCTATTGTCATAAGGCTGCTCATTTTTTTACCATGAGTTAGTCAAAAAGGTAAAGGATTTTCAGCACAGTACAAGAACTATTCACTGAAAGTTCTTTGATGAGCCCAAATGGATCTTAAATGGCAAAAAAAAAAAAAAAGATTTTGGGACCTTTATTTTTAAGAGTGAATGCATCTCCACCAAGTTTATCAATTAGTTTGATAATAAATATTGTTTTATTGATTAGGTAATATGCTCATAGATGAGGGGATGTGTGAGTTTCCTGATGTAACATTCACTATAAGCAGATCAATAACTCCAGTAATGAGTCCAGTGATCCCTCTGGCTTTACTCTCAGTGTTTCAGAGTGGTTCTCTGATAAACTCATTGGCATGTTAGGAAGCATCTTGGTGCTCATGGTAAATTACACATTGGATAGATTCATCTTCCTCAATAAGGTTGTCCAGTTTGAAAAGTTTACTAATGCATTTTAAGGTTTTACTAATGGGCTCATTGATGGATTCACCGATATAGATATTAAGAAATATCACGGATAATCAAAGAACTCACCAATGGGATAAACTGACTCTCTTTTACTCTCCTTTTTTATTATTTAAGGCCTAATATAGCTTCTTTTTTTAAAACTGCAGTACTGTGAGTATATTGGCTTTTGTATAAATTGCTTGTGATATTCGTAATTTAAGTAACTTGTTAATGAAAACGACATGTATTGTAAAAAACTACATGTTTTGTTAGTAAGATTGATTACGTGTTCATTCATAAGGAAGTTCACCCACAAACTCATATCACTTGGCAGGATCAGTCCACTAACAACATTTGAGTTTTTTTCAGTTTTTTGTCATTTGCAGTCAATACAATTTTGTTTTAAAACAATTAAAGATGCATTTCACAGTGTTTTAACAGAATGTCATGAGACTGCCGAGATCAGTCTAAACTAAATCACTGATAAAACAGTGTGATTCACAGAGCTGACATTTACAAATGTAATTTACTACAGGAAAAAAAAGACTATGCTCTGAGGACATTTTTTCTCTGTTGACATGAATGTCATATCACAAGAATGACAAATCAACAAAGCCTGGCGTGAAGGTCTCACACACTGATGATATGAAGACACAGGTAATAATAGAACTAGGGGGAAAATGAATGCTGCTCTTGATCAATCCAGGCTCTTAATCACTACTCAACTTCATAAAGGGAGTCTGGGATAGTTTTGAACAAAATGCAGTCAAAGGAAAATTCTTCATACAGTACTGCACTAGTACAAAGAGCAGGATCTTTGACAGTGTAATTTAAGGGGTTTAATCAGGACCATGTGCTTTATAAAGACATTAACAAATGTTAGACATTCATGTTTTAACGGTTCATTTAGCTGTACAAGGACAAATCGTGCTAATGGTCTTCATATCCACTTCTGAGTCAGTTGTTTTTCTCTCTACACATAAATGCATTGTGCATGTTACTAGTTTATGCATTTCTCTCTCTCTCTTTCTTTTTTTTTTTTTTTTACATTATTCTGCAGTTTTCCAGGATGACCTAAAATTTGATTTGGATCTGTTTAGTCACATGTTGAGATAAAAAATAAAAAAAAGTCAAATGTAAAGCTTCATTCAAATGATGAAAGCATCTGATGAGACAGCTAGAGGAAAAAGGAGAGGTAGAAACACTTGAGCTGCTCCTGTAGCAGAGAATCTTGTGCTTCCAGGAAAACGAGAGTGTGAGAAGATTTTTCCAGCCATTTAATGAGCAACATGACAAGACGTGAAAAAGAAGTGGCTGTGAGAGTACCTGTGGTGGTGGTGTAGACAGTTTGTAACTTCAAAAAGAACTGAAAGAACACATTTCAAACACTGGGGTGTGTGTGTGATTTATGCTGCAGTAAAGAAAACAGCTTCAGCAATTTCAATGATTTTTAAACAGGTTTCCCATACTCTGATCTGCCATTAGTCAGTCAAACAGACAATCCCACCCCAGACTCACGCCATTAGTTGAGCCTGAACTGCTGCATTGAGCAGTTCTTTCTGTCTTCTTACAGTATATATCATATATTTCAGATTTGAGGTACTGTACGTTACACTTTACACTAGTATACCAATGTTAACCCACCACAACAGGGTATAAAAGCCTCTTTTGCTCTGTGTTTCTGTGTATAATAAGGACACATAAACCTGGATGATTCAGAAAGCTGCTTATTGATATCTAAATGTTCCAAGTACAAATCAGTTCATCTCATTAATTATGCCTGTGTGAGTAACCTCTACGGCTGAACACAGACTGTGCAGGAGAACGAGAGCAGGAGGATGGGGGTCAGGCAGGGGGTGAGCCTCTCGTTGCCATGGTGCCACTGTGCGTCACTGTTTCTTCTGTCAGGAGAGAACCACACACCGCCTCTTCCCTAGCCAGATGGAGATTCCAAGATTTCCAAGAAAGGGATCTGACAATAACTTAGCGGATGTACAAAACACCCTCCCATCTGGAGCATATGAATTACATCTGGCAATTAATATATAATATAATAATATAATATAAGCTTTTATTCTGCTTGTACTACATGCAAAGAAAAATATGACAATAACATGAATACAAATTCTACAAGTGAAAAGAAAACGTAAGTAGGTGGGCAGTGAAAGGGCAAACGAAGCCCTCAAATAACTGCTCATAAAAACAACCTTTTTGTGACCTGGTCATTTTCTTGGAAAAGTACATTCCAACATCACTGCTTTACCCAATTAAAAAGTCTCAGAAGACTTCAGTCGTCTTACAGCTCTGTTAATTAAGAACAAAAGATGAAGCTGTCAGGGCTCTGTAAGAATCTGGTTCCCTAATATGGGTCTCTGTAAAGCAAGACCAGTTCATACACGCACAGTGATTGCAGCTGTATGACAGAGTTGGTTTTGTAAGATGTACCAACATTAGTATTCTAAACAGGAGGGCATCACCATCTGTTAGAGACCGATCTAACCTCTGTACATCCTTCAGTGTAATTATTCAGGTGTGAGTCAGAGAATTCACAGCATTTTGCCTGTTTTCAGTGTAACACTGTAATACAGTGGTTTTCACAATTTCTGATTCGAAAGACCCTTAAATATAATTATCTCCTTGTCAATATTTTGCCACATACAAAATTGCACTTAACTGTGTGTGTGTGTGTGTGTGTCTAATTAAATGCTAAAAATAAGTTGACGGGGTATCTGAGATTAACATTATTGTAGTATATTGTATATTATATATATTTTCACAAAACTATATGTAATTAATAGAATAAACCATTCGAAAATAATCAGAATGAAATAGTAGAAAAGCAGAATGAAATAGTAATGTCAAAGTATGTTAAACATATTTTATTAGAATATTAAAGGGGTCATATGATGCTGCTAAAAAGAACATTATTTTGTGTATTTGGTGTAATGAAATGTGTTTATGCGGTTTAAAGTAAAAAAAACACATTATTTTCCACATACTGTACATTATTGTTTCTCCTCTATGCCCCGCCTTCTGAAACGCGTCGATTTTTACAAAGCTCATCGGTCTGAAAAAGCAAGGTGTGCTGTGATTGGCCAGCTATCCAATGCGTTGTGATTGGCCGAATACCTCAAGCGTGAGACGGAAATGTTACGCCCCTCACATACTGTGATGGCGTGTCCCGGCCGGAGCAACGACACAAAAACATGAAAACCCATTACAAACGAGGCATTTGTTGCATCAGTGGGGACATAATTACTGATTATAATGACTTACACTGTCTTTTTACGCGTTGCGTTGCATTGCGCCGCGTAAACATAAAACCATGTCTGCATTTGTGATCAGAGAAATGTTTTAGGGGGGTGTGGCTGACTCTTAACTTTTATAAAGAATATCTCTTTGGATTTGAGACTTTAGTCTTTGCAAATTTACAGATCTTCTTTATGCACCAAGAGCTTGTAACACTCCAAAGAGAAAGGAAAAAATGAAATCGCATCATATGACCCCTTTAAGTTTACATGTTTACTTTGACAGTCCAGGATAGCTTATTTTTTTCTAAAAGTTTTTATTGACCCCCTAGTACCGTTTTACAGCCGTTTGGGAATCACGAGATGTTTGTTATGTACCACTAATTCAATGAAAATATCTTATTCTGCTGCTATTTAAAATGGATGGTACAGTAACCCAGCAGCGGTTACTGTACCATCCATTTCAAGACTGATAACAGATTTATAATGATTTAAATTAATTTGATTAAATTTGACCTTCATACTCAACATAAATAAACGTCAAACTGTTTAAAATGCTTTTAAATGATTCCCAAGCAGTAGTATGTTTACTCCAGAGGTACTTAAAGGAATAGTTCACCTAAAAATAAACAAATTCTGAAAATGTACTCCACCTCAAGCCATCCAAGATGTAGATGAGTTTGTTTCTTCATCAGAACAGATCTGGAGAAATTTAGCATTACATCACTTGCTCACCAATAGATCCTCTGCAGTGAATGGGTGGGTGCCGTAAGAATGAGAGTCCAAACAGCTGATAAAAACATCACAATAATCCACACGACTCAAATCCATCTATTAACATCTTGTGAAGCAATGTTTGTAATAAACAATTCCATTATTAAGACATTTAGTAAGATTTAGTAAGAACTTTATAGTCATTGTACATGTACAATGAAACTCTGGTGGAGCAACCTCCAGGTGCCTACTTGATACATACAAATAAGTGATGTACCATGTACATATTATACACTAAAGACTCTACTATTATACGTAATACGTAATAATTTTTTACTTCAAACAGATGTTATCTATCCATAATACTGCTTTCTCCAGTAAAGTTTTCATTTTGTGTGAACTATTCCTTTAAGTAGGTTCAAGTGGTGCTTTAAAAGATTTTGCTTTGTTAAACTAGGGCCCTATGAAATCTGTTTTATTTTTTCCCAAATTCAGTTGTTGTTTTTTCTGGACTCCTTTTTAATGATTAAATAAAATGTTATTAATAAAAAAAACATGTTTAATTCATTAAAATCATGAAACTTATCAAATTTACCATCAATTTATTAAAAGTTAACAAAAATTACATGTATGGAGCCCTATGGAATGCTTTATTTTTTCTCATCTTATGTTTTATTGTTACCATATTCTGTTTTAGCATGTCTAATTATTTGAATGCATAAAAACAACTTAAAGGTGCAGTAGGAGATCTTGGAAAATGCTAACTTTAGCCTGATAGCACTGAAAGCGAACGTCCCACCTCCCTGCAATCACAGTCCAAAGCCACGGCCCCTGAACGCATATACGCTCACTCACAGGCCAGAATACCAGAGACAACATTACTACAATAGGCTACATCAGTGGTTCCCAATTCCAGCCTATGTTCCGAAGTGAAGTAAACTTCAACGGATTTCCCCTGCTCAGGGAGTAGGGAGCAATGAACTCTGTGTAGGGATCATATCGATCG